CCCCGCCACCCCCTTCTAACGCAGCTCGTCCATTGCAGACTCACACTGTAGAGCACCCCACCGCGCCGGCCGCCGGCCCCGAGTGACCGGCCCGCCCCGCGTGGGTCTGCTCTCCCCGCAGGCATGCTCAGCCACCCGCCCATCCCCATCTCCGACATGGCAGAGCACACCGAGCGCCTCAAGGCCAACGACAGCCTCAAGCTGTCCCAGGAGTACGAGGTGAGCTGGCCCCGCCCCGGCCGCCGGGCCCTGTCGCCCACCCTGGCACGACGCCTCTGACGTCTGCTTTCCCGCAGTCCATCGACCCCGGCCAGCAGTTCACGTGGGAACACTCCAACCTGGAAGTGAACAAGCCCAAAAACCGCTACGCCAACGTCATCGCCTACGACCACTCCCGGGTCATCCTGCAGCCCATCGAGGGTAACGCGGGCCGGCACCCCGCCCTTCCGCCCTCCCTCGGGCGCCACCGTGCCTCGCAGCCGGACGAGCCGGGGGCGGGGCGGGAAACCCAAGCCCAGGTCTAGTCGCAGGCCGGGCCGAGCCGAGACCCTGGGAAAGCCCAGAGGCACACCCAGCTGGCCGGACCCCGCTCCCCGTGTCCTGCTCCGCCAGTGGTTCTCAGGGCACCCCCACCCCCGGGCGCATTTTGGGACTGCCAGGCACTCTCGGTTGTCACAGCCTCTTGGGGAGGCCTGGAGGGCGGAGACCCAGGGTGGCCAGCGCCCGCCGTGGCTCCGACCCCACGTGGCAGTAACGCCGAGGCCGAGAACCCGCGCGCCGCCAGCCCACAGCTCGGGCCCGGGCGGACCCATCAGCGGCCGGGCCCCCCCGACGCCACCTCTCACCCCGCCTCAGGCATCGTGGGCAGCGACTACATCAACGCCAACTACGTGGACGGCTACCGCCGTGGGCCCCGCCTCCAGCCAGCGCCGCGGGAGCTGCCTAGGGGCTGCCCGCCGCTGGGAGCGCAGAGGACGCGCGCACGCCCCGACTGGTAAGGACGGACCGCGCCAGCGCCTGCTCCGCCCAGGATCGCCCGGTGGTGGGTGCTGGGCTGCCTCAGCTTTTCCTGCACCCCGGGACGTGTCGGGGGAGGCTCAGAAGGCGCCCCGAGCACACCGGCCCGCGCCCGGGCTCAGGTGCCCCTGCCCCTTCCCTCCCCCTAGTCCTGTAGGTGAACCGTGGGCAGCTGAGGCCCCCTCACGCCCATGAGGCGCTGGGTCGGGGCCTGTGCTCGGTCACCTCCGCGGCCAGACCCCCAGCCCCGCCCCTCCGCCCGGCCTCTACCGGCTGCCTCCAGCCCAGCGAGGAGTTTCTGATCATCACCGAGCGCCTGCTCTGCCTGCGCTCCGCCCCCACTCCCCACGCTGACTTTCCCGTAAGAGGCCATTTGCGGCCTTTGTGCCGCCCGGCTGCCTGGCCTCGCGGGCTCTTTCCAGCGGCCCCTCCCCCGCGCTGGGCTGGCCCTGCGGGCTCCGACCCCATTTAATGAGGATTTTAAACACGCGCCCTGCTGACCAGTGGCAGCTGTCCCACCGGCCGAGCCGGGCCCGGGCGCCCCTGCCGGTCCCTGCCCCAGGGTTCCCTCTGTCCATCCTGCTTCCTTCTGCACAGTCCCCTCTGTCGACCCCCACGGGAAAGCTAAGACCAGGTTAGTGTGGGAGGACGCTCGCCACAAGAGCCTGAGGCTTGGGGGGTCCCAAGCCCGGCTGAGGCCGGGGCTGGCCAGTGTCCCGGCACACAGCAGCTGCCTGGGGTCTCGGCCTGGGGCCGGGCAGCCGTTTCCAGCCGCGATGTCTGAGTCTCTGCCCTCTGCGTCTGTCAGCTGCCTTGTGCGTGCACCCAGAGAGGGGTGGGGGAGGCGCCCCCACCCGCGTGTTTTCATTTATTTATTGTTTGCTGTTTCTGCAGATTCAGGCCTCAGCAGCCCCCTCAGGGAGCCGGGGTTTCACTTTGAAAGTTAGTTCCTGTGTCTCTGTTCTCGGCTTCCTTTCGCCCCTGTTTGTTTTCATCTTTGGTTTTTCCATCCCGCCTCCTACCTCTGTCCACGCTTCCGCGCCCAGCTGGTCTCTGCCCACCTGTCCTGCCCTGGCTTCACGAGTCGCGGGGTCCAGTCCTCAGGGGGCTGGCTGTGACTGTGTATGTGGGGGTGGGGGGACAGGGACACGCAAGACACAGGCAGATGTGAGGACAGGGGCCCACCTGAGGGATGGGGAGCATCAGCCTCAGACCCCCCATGGGACTCTTGGGGAGCAGCTGGGGCGGCGGGGGGCTCAGAGCAGCAGCTGTTTACCAGCTCACTGGCGTTCTGCTGACGGTTTAACACAGGCCCTGCTAGCGGCCTAGCCCAGCGTAGCTGTGCAGCGAGGGTGCTGCTGGCCCAGGGGACCAGGGGGCGGGGTGGGGCCTCTGGCAGGTCGGGTGGGGACGACGGAGCCAGGCTCACCGCAACCTCCTGGAGCTCCAAGGATAACAGGAGCCCTGTGCCCCATGAGGAAACGACCCCTGTGGTCAGGAGCTCGCCAGCTCCTGCCCGGAGCAGTTTCGAGATGAGTGGGGTCTCCCCCAGGACACCTGGCCCCCGGGCGCTCCCCGGCCCCTCGGCGCGGGGGTCAGTCTCCCGCCCCCACCCAGGGACGATACTTCCGAAGGTCCGGCCAGCTGCATCTGCTTCTTCATTTCTGTGTCACTCGCCTGCTGCTCGTCCTGAGGCACTAGGAGCTTCGAGTCTCGGGGCCACCCACCCCCCCAGTCCTTGCACCCCACCTGGGTTGGGTGGACCCCGTGAACCAGGGGACTTGGGCCCAGCCGAGAGCGGCGGCC